TCAGACCTATACTCCTGCCTTTCCTCTCCCTGTCTACGAATCCTTCTACCTCCTCTCCTTCTTTGACCAAGAGTAGTCCAATTTCTGCCAGCACCCTGTAGGTCAACAGCACTGGTGGCGATCGTTGTTAACCCGGGCCTCGACCGAGCCGGTATGGAGTTCACACTGATGATTCGCATGTTTTCACGCTGGATGCCCTTCCTAATGCAACTCTCTGTATTTATCCGGGCTTGCAACCGGATGTGGCTAGATTTCCTATTGGCATATTATTAATCTTTATTTTTTCCATTTTCCATATCATTTGAGCATAGGAAAGTCACTTTCACCTTTTCCCGTTTCGGGAATCGTCTCGCATGTTGACATTTGGCACGTGTTTTATGCCAGATGCCCTTCCTGATGCAACCTGGATTCGAACCCGGGGCGCCGCAGGGAGAGCACTGCGCCTTAACCACTAGCCTACCAGGGAAGGCCTCATTTGAGCATGTTGCTCATTATAAACACTGCATAAGAACAGGACATACTTTACTGTCTCAGCCCGACTACACTCTACACAGTGACCTGTGGGGTTTATGCATGGTATATTTTAAACCTGTGGGACCTCTATTCTCAAACAGGCCATTACAATTTCCTCTTTTCTAGTTCCAGTCCATGCCTGCTGCTTCCCAACCCTTTTTAAATCATATATAAGTGTCTACCAGTTTCACAACAGCCCCACTGCTCTTGCCAGACTCTGAACCTGCTTCTTGTCTGTGTCTTGGAGTTGAATACTGCTGTGTGCAGGAATCCAAACGAATTACCACAGTCACAGTTTGTCTAAAGTGCTGACTGAAGGGAAAGTTACTGCTGCCTTCATTTGTATTCATAGACAACACAGTCCTATTTTTCAGGTGGTGGTTTATATTTAAAGAATATTTAATAGAAAAATACAAAGCTCCTATGGAGAGATCACGAGTACAGACATAACAGGTGCCTTCTAGACAGGAGACACATTGCTTGTAGTCATTGTGTGGAGGTTTTGCATGTCTTTGTGGTCATTTGTGGCCCCTGGGTAGAAGGGCCCCATCCCCACCCTTCCTTCACAGGAGCCAAACTGACTACAAATGTGTTTTGTGTCATCTCTCTGAGGCTGATATGGGTATGTGCTCAGGAGGCCCGGTCAGTCTCTGTGTCTCTGTGAAATTAATTCCTGTTATATTTCCTACAACGTGGACTCAACCCAGTCACAGTCTGTAGATACTTTACTACCTCCAGAGACCATGAACAACAAACCCTGCTCTGTGGACTGATGATACACCAGGAGGTTTACAGTCACACAGAGACTGGGCCTAAGAAAGGAAGCCGACCGAGAGCCAGGAGGCACACGTCCAGTAATCAATAGGTAGTGATCAGAGATGACACAAATCCATCTGTGATCGATGGGTGAGGCCATTTTGCATTCAGACGGTAGGACCTGTTTACAGTGACAATGGCATTAGATTAGATTAGATTAGATTACATTAGATTAGATTAGATTAGATTAGGAGACTGAATTATGAGCAGGTACCGAGTGTTATTCTGGGATTCAGACATTTAATCTGATCAACAGGACATAAGTTATGATCAGTCTGACTGGCTGAAGATACTAATACTACTACTCATATTACTGCATCACCTTTTAACTTGGACCACAGTTACTCTTTTATACTTCAGTATTTTATTACTTGATGTTAATCTCATGTATTTATTTCTGTCCACTTCTCTGTCCTTGTCCTGCTGCAACACTTCTTATCTTATCTGTGATATTTGCTGTCGTGAACTGTACTGTGTTGTGTTTGCTCTGATTTATCACATATTGTACTTCATCATTATTAGAAACATTTTAAATTGTACATATAGAGTCACTGTCACATGTAATTCTGTCTGTCCCTTCCGTTTCTACTCGTCTGGCCATAATTGATCCGATGCTTTCTACACCATCACACCACTAGTCAGTATCTGTGTTGCAGCTTCAATCAGGCACCGATCCATGTTTCACCCCTGCTGCCACCATCCCAGGCCAGCTGGGGCTCAGTCGGACTGATGAAGAGTTTGTTTTCAGGTCAGGGGCCCACACGTGCTGGCGCGTTCAGTCCTTATCAGAGACCTCGATTTATCATGAACCTGCTCTTTCTGCTCTTGAACTTCACCATTCGGGAGGTTTCACCCTCAGCAAATATTTACACGATCAGCTGCCAAAGCCCATCAGCGTCTTTCCTAACTTTGTTCCATGTTAGTGGCACAGAGAACAGGTCGAAATCAAATTGTTTTGTACCAAAGCAGCTGCAGCAAACTGCTGGTGTTCGCTGCTGTTACAGCACAGACACTATCCCACGATGTTTAGAGGAAAGTGGGGCTCTGGTTTATGAAGCTCTGATGTTTGTAAGACACATGAAGCAGGTTTAACATGGCGGTGAACAACTGTCTTTCACTGTGATGATGGTTCAAATCCACAACTGTTGATTAATGTGGTCATCTGCATGCAGCTTCATACTGAAGACGCCGGGTCCTAATCACAATCTGGGGGTTTTCTGATCGTGCACATGTTGATTTTCTCTTGTTTTTAGACCATCTGACTTTTTAAGCTGACTCAGTTTAACTGTTTTAGCCTCGGAAATAAATGAAAATAAATCAGATACAACTCTTTAGACAACACACACATCGATGGCATGTGACAAATCAGATGCAGCCTGTTCAGTACTTTACTCAAAGTACTAATACTGTACTGTCAAAGTGCTTCATTACAAATCAAAGTATTGCTTGAGTAAAAGTATGTCAATGAAAAGTATTAAAAGTACTCCATGCAGAAGACGACCCCTGACCCTGATGTACTAGTATTGATATACTACATTTAGTTGTGATTGATCAAGGTGATTAATCTATTTATTTTATTGATTAATTGATCACTTGTTTACTTGCTAAAAATTCAGGAAAGTCACGTCTCACTTTCACTTTCACTTTGTTTTATCCAATCAGCCCAGATCTTCATCCCGTTAACAATGGATCAGACTGGTGGACTGACCAGTGACATCTGACCTCAGCGGCCCAGCTGAGTCCTGACCACAGACATCAGGCAAACAGGGATTATTCTCATTGTCACGTCACCGACCGATCGTTAAATTATTTTAAAACCTTCTTTACAAAACGCTGGTGATGTGTTCAGATGTCTTGCTTTGTCTGGCCAACAGCCCGACACCCAGACTGTTTATCTGTCATTGCAGGCTGATGTCTTCCTGTTTATCTGTGCACGAAGCTGTTCATTGTCCATGCTGTGTTGAAGTCAGGTGTCACTACCTGTACAGCTGCTGTCAGCTGTCTTCCTCAGCTGTGCCTGGCAGCCGGGACAGGCCAACTCCGTGGGGGGGGTCTGAACTGGGATGGACCCTGGCTTATCAGATGACAGCGCTGCAGTTATTGATTAATCCCAGACTGGCTGCACATCAGTTGGTCACAGCTCCCCCACAATAACATACACCAAAACTAACATGGCAGCGCTGGCTCCACCTGAGAATTACTGAGAGGGCGGTCATGTGACAGCGCTCAGAAACAAACCATCTACAGCCGGTTTACCAGCAGGGCTGACTAAAACGTTTTAGCCTGTCAGGAGTTTGTTCGGTTTGTGCATGGAGCTACATTTTGATCTATGAGAGCAGTGACAGCTTTTCGTCACAGTGCTGACTGAGGGTTAGGGTTAACATGTTTGGCCTCCACAGCTTTCTGTCCTCACACACATGTAAAAACAAACATCTACAAATGACCCGGCTGGCTTTAGAACATGTCTCGGTTCACGCTGGGTGTTTGTGGCAGCAGTGCCATGGTACATGACCCGGATTCCAAAGGTAAAGCCTCTCATTTCTCTCCCTGACAGTGCTGTGACGGCTATGGGGTCAGCGTGGAGCTGTTCAGACACCAGCTGTGCTACGACACATCTGGCTCAAAGGTAGGCCACAACACCCTGTGTACATAAAGCCTGAAGGAGAGAAGTCAACTACAACTCCCATGGTGCAACATGTCCAAGCTTCATCTGCAGCTTATAGATGTTGGGTCAGTTGTAGGTGAAGTCAGCGACCGCAGTGACGGACTGTGTTCATAAATCAAACAGCCACATGGTTTGATTCTGTGATTCACACCCCTGACTGGCTCCCTCATAGCCCCCAGCAGCTGAGGCTCATGGGTAATGTAGTATTTAGACCCATCTGCCAAACTCATGAAAACTGATGATCAGAACATGAACCTGTGGGATTGCTGCATTAAACAGCAGGGTCCTGTGTTTCTGTATTCATTAACTGATCAGATCGATAACAATATTAAACTGTAGGTGAGTTAATGGGAGGAAACACAGCAGCTGCTCCTTCCACGGCACAACACTGCTGATTCTGTAGGGGAATAAAACCTGAAAACCATGTGCAGATCATTGAACTGATTCCTTCTGTAAACTCCTTCAAGTCGTTCCCTCACATTCGGCTCCAGTCTCTGCAGGCTAAAGAAATCCAGCCCGTTTTGGTGAGTCCAGCACAGTCCACCTCTTTAGTTTCTTCAACTTAATCAGAGAAAACCATCAGACTTAACTGTGATTAAGTCAAAAATCAGTTTGTATCTTTTGATAAATCACAGTTACCAGAGAGCAGCACAGACTCTGTACCTAGAAAACTAAAGGAGCTCGGTCATTGCAGTGAAGACAAACGTCTGACTTGGTCACCAAGTCCAAAACTACCGGTAACGATCCGGTAGTACTTTGACCTGTGGGGTTCAACCTGGCACATGGAGCCGTGGCCTCCTGTGGAAAAGCCCCGCCCCCCGCGCGTGGTGGCCCTTTGAGCACTCCTTCATGCCGCTCTCTGATTGGCTGCGCGGCGGTGTTCACGTGAACCGTAAGTGGGCTTTGAATACACAGGACAAAAGTGTGTCGATGGTTTAGATAGTGAGGT